AATTGTTAGAAAAATAATTAAAATAAGCAATGAAAATATCAAAATAAGTGTTAGTAAAATTGTTAAAAGAAATATTTAAATATATATATATATATATATATATAATTTAAATACATATTTAAACATTTGTAAAACAATAAAAATACGCAATTAAATTTGAAAATTAAAATATTAATCAAATTAAGTTTTTGCAAAGCAATTAAAATAAATTTGTAAATATGAAATAAGCATTATGCGTAAATAATTAAAATAAGCATTTAAACATTCATTAAAAATGAAAAAGTAAATTAAGTGTTAGAAAAATAATTAAAATATTAAAATAAACGATCAAAATAAGTGTTATTAAAATAATTAAAATAATTAATTACATGTTAAATAAGTAATATGCATAAAGAATTTAAATAAATATATAAACATTTGTGAAATAATAAAAATAAACAATTAAATTAGGATATGAAAATGTCAATTACATTAATTTTTTTATAAAGCAATTAAAATAAATTTGTAAATATGAAATAAGCGATATGCGTAAAGAATTAAAATAAGCGTTTAAACATTAATTAAAAATGAAAAAGTTAATTTAGTGTTAGATAAATAATTAAAATAAGCAATTAAAATATTAAAATAAACGATCAAATTAGCAAATTAAGTATATGGAAAATAGTAATTTACGTTTATTTTGCTTATTCCGTTATCGGTTGGTTATTGCATCTAGTAGCAGTGTGTTAATATATTTTTTTAATATTTTTGTTTATCGAACATCATTTGCATAGGGTTCTAATATTTGAAATTTTGCAGAATGGAATATCATCTGGACGACGCTGTTAGACAGATCCCTGGTAAAGTTACCTCGAATTGTAACTTTACCAGCTTCGCTTTAGTATTGGATTTGCTGGACGACGATCACACAGATATATTACGTCGATCATGCTTATGGCCATTGTATTCATTGCGTGATGTATAGTGGTCTGGGCAGCTGCTGGATGCTCTGTTATGTCACTTGCTGAAGCCAGTTGACGGAGACGCCCTCCATTTTGATCTTGGGGGCAAGGTAGCCACGTTCTCTATATTTGAGTTTGCCCTCGTCACTGGATTGCGATGTACGGACTATGCAAATGCGAGGGCCTGTGTTCCGAGGAACAGGAGGCTGTTGAATGAATATTTTCATGGACAGACGACGGTTACTCTAGCGCAGCTAGGAGATGCATTAAGGAGATGTGATCGGATGTCTGATAGGTTGAAGTTAGGCTTGGTGCTTATCATCGAAAACATACTCCGGTGTCATCACAAGAAGACATCGATTGACATTTTTCATTTGGAGGTTGTTAATGATATTGATGCCTTCAACAACTACCCATGGGGTCGGAGATGTTTTCTTGATACATTACGCGTGTTTAGGAGGGGGTTTTCAATGCCAAAGGGGGATAAGCCCGAGCGCAAGTACGATTCTTGATACATTACGCGTGTTTAGGAGGGGATTTTCAATGCCAAAGGGGGATAAGCCCGAGCGCAAGTACGATGCATATGGACTGCCGTTGGCGCTGCAGGTATATGTTTAAGTTAATGAATTACCTACACTTTTTTTATTGAATTCTATACATAATAATTGTAATTGTTTCAGATATGGGTGTACGAGACTGTCCCCATCTTGGCCAGTCGGTATGCGAGGAGAGGAGAGATACGCTATCCTCGGATGCATCACTAGCGAGCACAAGACAAGCCGCTTGCCAGACAGTTATCGGCTCTCCTCGACGATCCTGAGGTACGTATTATACAATTGCTATTTATGTTGTACGTCCTTTTACAATCTGAATACATAGTCATTAACTGTGACATATCAAAATGACAGCTTGAAGTTCTCACTGAATTAGCACCGTCGATCGAGGAGGAGAGTCAATTTTATATTCGCGAATTGCCTCTTCGTACTACACATGACGATCAGATGTTTGAGTCCAGGATGGATCGAGATAAGGTATGTCACTGTGCAGGATTTGTTGAATATCGCTTTGATCTTGTAATTAAGTGCTTCACTTGTAATATTTATTTTTTCAGGAGGATCGTTCAGTACTACATCCATTGATGATATCACCTCCACCGAGGAGAGCACGTCCAGCGAGGATGTCACCTCCGCTGAGAAGATCACGTCCAGCTACGCCAGAGGTTCAGATGCCTGAGTCCAGCGTTGATCGAGATAGAGTATGTTACTTAAAAATAATTCTTCGATTGTCGTTTTATTTTATTTGTTAGGTTATTCATTTGTAATAGTTATTTTTTCAGGAGGGCCATCTAGTATCGCCTCCTGCACCTAGTCCCCGTGCTTCGGCGATTGATTTGTTCGAACTCCTGATGGAGATGAGAGGAGACATGGCAGAGTTACGGGATAATGTCGTGACACTACGAGCTGAGTTCGGGGACATGGCACAGTTATGATATGATGTCGCGATGTTACGAGCTGGGTTAGGAGACTTTCATGCTGAGGTTGCAGCGATACGGGGTGACATAGCAGGCTTGCGTGGGACGAGCGATTATCGAAATGGAGGAGATAGTGGAGGGACAGGTCACTATCGGGATGGAGGGGGTGACGGAGGGGTCGGTGGTTATCAGGGGAGAGGGGGTCAGATGGGGTATGTTGACTCATCGTGGCTATCAGTTGCTGCATTTGATTCATTTTTAAATGACACGATGGGGATGGAGGAGCGAGAGAGAATACCTGTGGTGGAGGGGGTGCCCGTGCAGGATATACCTGAGGACGTGGAGGGGGTACATGAGGAGGAGAGGGTACCGGAGATGGAGGTGGAGGTGGTACCTGAGATGACGTCACCCGATGCAGAGGGGATACCCGAGGAGGTGGGGGTGCTTGTGCAGGGGATACCCGAGGACGTCGAGGGGGCATCGGAGGTGGAGGTGGAACCCGTGCAGGGGATACCCGGGGATGCCGAGGGGGCACCGGAGGAGGATAGGGTACTGGAGATGGAGGTGGTACCCGTGCAGGGGATACCCGAGGATGCCGAGGGGGCACCGGAGGAGGATAGGGTACTGGAGCTGGAGGTGGTACCCGTGTACGGGATACCCAGGGATGTCGAGGGGGCACCGGAGGAGGTGAGGGTACCGGAGGTGGAGGTGGTACCCGAGAAGACGCCAGACTCGCCGGCCGTGGTCTTTGTGTCGGAGGAGGTGGTCCCGATAGCGGGCGAGGGGGTCGTCCCGATGGTTGGGGAGATGGAGATTCTCGAGACGCATGATGAGAGGACGATGGCTGTTGACGTGGTGGAGCGGGTGGTCGGCAAGAGGCCAAGGGTGCCATCACAGTACGTTCTTTCTTCCTTTACCACGGAGGTGAAGAGGAGAAGGTTCGTCGACGGGACGCACCCGAATTTATTCAGGGAGGTGGACCACGCCAAGTGGAAAGCCTTTGAGACAGAGTGGAGAGCACTGTAGCCTGGGTAAGTTTTGTATTTTATGTAATTAGTATAGTACGCAGACGCAGACGCTGACGCTGACGCATGTATACTTCTTATAACTAAAAATTCTGTTCTTATTTTTTCAGGGCCAACCGCACGATTGCTGAGAAGACGATCTCAAATGCTTACAAGTGGTTCCATGACATCACCACTTCAGGGGCTTGACTCGCCGATGATGTAAGTGAAATGAAAATATTGTTATTTATTATGTATGTTCAAAATCAATTTTTTGAATGAAATTCATAGATTAACTCCTTTCTTTATTGGTGTTTCTTGATGTAGCACATCGACTTGAGCATGGATTTGCTGCGAGATCATGCTGAAAGACATCCAAAATCGTTCAACATTCCTGGCAGACTCATATTGAACACCGAGTTCATCCGTGCCGTTGACATTGAGTACAAGTCGTTCCAGGCCGTGGGTAGCGAGTACACGGTGTCGGAATATATGATGGAATGGGTCGTAGGGATGTGGCTGAGTGTCGGTGGAAAGCCATGGGATGGCTGTACGCATATGTACGTACCAGTATGTGTGAATCATCACTACATTGCAGTGGAAATCGTATTCGCCGACTCCACGATGTATGTGTACGACCCCGATCATTCATGCCTGACACAAGGCTAGCTCGAGCAAAATCTAGAGTTGGTGTCTGTGATCGTTCCCATGATAGCTAGACGAGCGAACATCACTGTACATGACAGATTGGCCACCGTGCGGAACACGACGACGGCGATGCAGCAAATATCGTAAGTGTTTGTAATTTTCTTTTTGTCATTTACATCTTAGGTTCTAACTAATTTTCGATGTGCTAATACAACATTGTTTAATTGTAGGGGTGATTGCGGCATGTTCGTCATCAAGTACATAGAATTTTTGAGTGTGGCACATAAGGTTGATGCAATCAACCAGGCATGGATACAAAATTGGAGAAATAAACTAGCACGTGATTTATTTGAATTTAATGGGGATCTGTAAATAATTGTACATATTTTACATTTATTTAAATATTGTACAGTTCATTCATTTATTTGTAATTACGAAAAAATTGTAAAATGTTGATTATTTATGTAATATTTAAATATTTATTTTACAATGCAGCCTACCGTATAATGCAGTGTCTAGAAAAAGTTTCGATTTCAAATAATTAACATAAATAATATGAATAATAAATGAATGTAATGAATAAAATGTTTGAAAAAAATACTAAATCTAATAATTCACATAAATAATATGCATAAAAAATTAACGTCAATATTATAAATAATTACATTGCCAATAGTTATTAAAATTACACATCCGTTACATTGTCATGTAGAGGAATCTGACTTGTACAATATCTTCTAGTATGCCCTGTTGCACCGCACCTACTGCACTTACGAGGCTGGGGAAACTCTCTGGTAGATGGTATTCTAGACGTACGTGTACGTCCAGGAGTACGTGGTCCAACTGCTGGTGGCAACAAGTTATTCAGTGGAAGAATGTGGTCGGGCACTTCCCACTCGACTTCATTTGGTACAGGAAATATTGTTTCCGCATATGCTGCTCTCCAATAATCAGTCATGTAATACACACTGCATAAGGTGTGTGGTGGTAATCCTCTATGCATAGTCACTGCCACTGCATGTGTACATGAAAAACTCTCCAACTGAAACCGTCTACACGTGCACGTGTTATCATTCAAGTCCACAATGTATCCGAAATTACGTGCACATCTCACGGAGAAGTGAAATTGATCAAGTGGTTCTACATATACTTTTCTTGCCACATCTAGATTCTTGAAGAGCTTATCTTCTTGAGCCGGGGTTAGCACACTTGCACAACTCTGTGATTCCTCACGTCGATCATGAAACCACTGTTGTAGCTTGTCACGAATGTTCTCAATCATTGCGAGAATCGGTAACTCTCGATCTTTCTTGAATGAAGCGTTAAGCGACTCCGCATTGTTCGACGTCACCATGTTGTATCGACGTCCTGGAAAATGTGATCGTGCCCAATGTTCAATCCCTATCTCCGTTAGATACTCCCATGCAGCATGCGATTTACTGTCTATTTCGACCATGAACTTATCAAACTCTTTAAAACTGTAAGCCTCTGCAGCTCTCCTAAGCAACGTAACGACGCCATTGCCTCGATACCTGGTCTTCAAGTTTCCCTGTATATGGTACATACAATAACCATGATGTGCCTCGGGGAAGATTTCGGCGATACCATTTATTATTGACTGCCCTCGATCGGTTACGAATGCAAGATTTTCGACATCTCCAATTACTTCCCTCAACTTCGTGAAAAACCAACTCATTGCTACATCATTTTCTCCGTCGACTATGCCGAACGCAAGAGGGTAAATTTGGATGTTCGCATCTTGGCATGTTGCAATAATCAACTTGCCCCCGTATCTCGCCTTAAGGGTTGTACCGTCGACTAAGATTAGGGGTTGCATTGCATTTCGAAATCCTCGAACACATTGTCCAAGGGCCATAAAGAAATATTTGAAGCGATTTTCGTTATCCTTCTCAATAAAAAATGCCGACCCAATATTAATTCTTCCCATGTTATAGCAATACCTGGCCAATGTAAATAAAAATAATCATAATTTAGATAATATATTAAATATTAAATGAAGAGAAAAATAAACAATTCAATTAACTAATTAATTACATATAAATAAACAATCGAAATTAAATAATTACGGACTACAAGAACTCATTCGTGTCTATCTTAGTCGCTCGCAAACGCCAATGGCAACTGTCGTCAACGCAGATAATTGTGTACGTCGACTTGTTTGATTTCTTCACTTTAAACTCGAAGTTATGTTTTAAAGCAATCCGGTGCACAGCTTCTTGTAATTCTTTCTTTGATTCGAATAGTTGCTCGACATATACATCTACATCATCGGGAACTACACGCGAACAATTAGAGGACCGTGTACTCGGTCCGGCCTGTGAGCTCCCACCCGACTCATGTCTCCTACGAGATAAAGCAATCAAATCCTCGTTTGTAAATGCATTTTCATTCTCGTTGTTTTCAACTATCGATGGAATTCTGTGCGTAACAGCGTGATCATGGTGAATAACAGTGTTCTCGGGAATAACCACATCATCTTCACGAACAATCTGAATTGTATCACAAACATCATTTACATTACGATTCTCTTCATTTGAAACTTCGTGTTCACCCTCGCGGACATTCTTCCCCAATAAAGTTACGCAAATAGGAGTCGACTTTCGGCCTTGGTTCAATTTAATTAGATGTTTCATTTCCACTTCAGAAGTAACTTTCATAGGTGGAATTGAAACGGTTGAATGCTTATGAAACAAAAATCCCAATTTCATATCGTACTGAGAGGGATCGACGTTAAGCATGTTTTGTATATCACTGTACATTTCTGCGAACGATGTACTCCTTGTTATAAAAATTGCTTTAACCCCATCTCCTTCACTCGTCCATTTCCATTCCCACTGAGCATTTTCATTCATTTGAAATTCACCAAAGTAACAAATTGGGACACATGCTGATATCATATCTGCCACAAATTAAAAATAAGGAATTCATATATAATTTTTTAAATTGTTCATTTCATATTTAATTTAATTTAATATTTTAAATAATTCATTGATTATTTTAATTGTTTCAAAAATATTTATTTCAATTTGTATTTAAATATTCATTAATATTTATTTTAATAAACATATATTAATGAACAAATAAATTCTAAAATCTGAAAAGGGAAAAAAAAAAAAGCTGGCTGTTTCCAGCCGGCCCGGACAACTGGGCCGGCTGGAAACATTTGGCCTAACTTTTTTGTCCGTTTCATCTGAAATTTATGCTCAAATTTTTTATTTTTTCCCTTTTTCAACGAAATAATGTTTAAATATTTATTTTACAGACACCTATAAATTTTTCATGTAAAATATATGCATACAGAGATGAATTTTTTTGTTGTTTTTGCTATAAAAAAATTATAAATCTGTGTTTAAATACTGTAAAATTCATCTGCCTTTGTCAAAAAAATGATTTAAAGATTCAAACAGTAAATTTAACTAAAACAAAATTAAAAATACGTATTTATACTTACCAATTTCCAGTGCTAACTGTGAGTATTGTTTATTTGTTGAACCTTTGATAATTTTGGGAGATTTCAGTATTTTAGCAGATGGAAGGAAAAAATTCTTTTTTACTGTATTGGAGAAACTGATAAGCAAAACTGATTTTAAAATTTACGTATGAAAGTAACTGAATTTATTTAAACTATTAAGGATATTATTATCTTTTAAAGAATTGATATACTTTTGTAATTGTGAAACATAAATAAGGGCACAATTGTCTTTTTATTGACAAGAAGCCAATGTGGTGAATAAAAAAAAAAAATTGATTAAACTGAAAAATTGGTTATTTGACCAAGCCAATTTAAAAAGTACCCCCCTAATAATCCTCCCTTCCTCTCATTTCTAACAGCAAAAATTCTAAATATTTATGAATTTAATGGTTTGAGATTAATTTGTTTTTATTTCCGCTCAAATTGAATCTTCCCTTTAAATTCCCCAAATAGATCCCTGTAAATGAACAAGGAAATCAAAGTGTCTGCTTCCGAAATATTCCACGCTTCAATCTCCTCTCCTTTTTTCTATGGAGGTGAACTTTTGGCTATTTCTAAAATAATTAAGTAAATTTTTTATACATTTTTGTTTATATTAATTTAGTTTCTGCAATTTTGAATGATGTTGTTGAATTGGAATTTTGGGATTGCAAATCTTGTTAAATTGAATCTTTACTGAATTGAGAAAAATGACTCATGAGGTAGATTCTGAATTTATTAGTAATAAAATTTTGGTTTTGTTTGAATGCTATTGTGAATGGGCATCTTGTCAGTTTCAGGAAATTTGTTTCAATGACGTGATAATGTGAATCATGAATGCAACATTTTCGATGCCCCATTTTATTCATAATAAGTTTGGAGTTGAATGTATTATTTCAATGCCTTGATAATGTGAATCATGATTGCTTCATTTTTGTTGCCCATTTTATTCTTAATAAATTTGGAGTCTAATGTATGAATCACTTTTCACAACTAGTAGGCTATTCCCAATGAATTGTTTATAACAATTAATGATGTTAACTGTCAACCTAACACAACCTGCCTTCCTTCTGAGGATGGGATCTCCAGTTAAGAGCAAAACATAAGAAGATTGGATTCTTCATTTATACTTTCTATTAATGTTATAATTAATCATGAGGAAATGTGTTCATTGCTTAACATCCCAGATAAAGTAGTCTACACTAATTTGATTGGTAAGTTGTTTAATATTGCTATTTGAAGTTGCAAACTCTTGTAATCTTATTGCTGCTTTTTTCTTCAGTGTGCGATCTTGCAAAACAGGAGCTGAAGTGGATAATTATTTGTTTACGAACACCTTATCTGTATTAGACAAGCCAAATTCTTATCATTTTTTCATCGTTGATGATCAATTTTCTCTTATACAGATACGATGCATCTTTACCCCCATTGTGGATAGTATTCTATCACGGCTTTTAGCAGTCATAGAAGATCTTAATTCACATACTACATAGTCTTGAAATAATTAAAGCATTAATTTATGCTCGATGCATTAGTCAATGTGCTTCATGACCAAGGGGATATTGACTAATGCATATTCATGTGGCAGGCATTTGATGATCACATATGAATGAATAACTTTCTCCACTTCATAATCGCTTGAGCTTTAGATGAGATGAGATGATATTATCAAATATGGCATATTAATGTTTGTATTATCTGTTCAATTTGTATTTACTGATCTTATTTATTTCTATTTTTCTTGACTGGCAGAAAAATTGGAAAGCTGTGCCTGAATTTGGAGGGTGGGATAACAAGGCTGGAACTAATACTAATTACTCAGTAGTGTTTTCACAAGCTCGTGCCAATAGGAAGCAGCACAAAAGTGACTTAACACGCTACAGCATTGGAAACGAACAAGAACTTCTGACTAAACCTTCAAATGATGAACCTGGTGTGGTAAGTTTCCATTTCATACCTAATTGCAATTTATTTTTTGTTATTTTTTATGATGAAATCTGCTCAGCGTGTTAATCATGATGCGTTTAAACTATCTTCTACATAAGATTTTTCTTCAACGTGTACTCTAGCATTGTTTCGATCCATATCCCCTTGGTCAAACTCAATGCACATGGATCTTGACATGCCAGAGAATGTTGTTCTATACTATATCAATTTTACAGGAGTTGTGTGTCGTGGCACGTATTTACATGTGTCTAACATGTTATGTGATGTGTTTGATATGCTAGGTGTGTTGTGAAAGCTCCAGTAAGTTTTAGGCAAAATGTAAAAGAGAAAACAAACACAAGAAATTTGTGTGTTAGGCGCTTAGCTTAGGTACATAGGCGGAGAGAAGAAGATTTTTACTAAACAAAAGCGGAGAATACAAAAGAGTACTACATACTCAATCTTGAACCCCCTACAATACATAATAAGCTAAGAAGCACAAACATGTTTTCAGAAAAGTAAGACGAGGACACGTCGGTGACATCTATTTAAATTCTTTAAACTTTCACATTTAGTAATTTTATCGTATGTTATATTTTTTATTTTTATTTTTGAATATAGGATATGAATAATCAAAGTTTATTAAATCAATCATTCCACATAGGAGTCATTCCTTAGCTATCTTTCTACGAGATTCTAATATTAGATCTTCTTATTATAAGGAAAAGGACGTTAGGGTGCATGGCATGTCATACACTTGTTCGAGGAGTGTATTTAATGTATCTCTGAGTGTATCAAATTTTAAAATTATAAAAATAGGAGATGGTATACTACTTAACAGTTACATTTTTTGTGAAGTCCAATGCGTGTCGGCGTTGAACACGACACGTGGACCTAATAGAAGTGTTAGTATTTGATAGGACACAAAAGTGATCCTAAAAGGAGTCTTTGTACTTTTTGGATACTGAAAGAGTACAAGGTACTCCAACCAAAATCCCCCACCAAAAGTAGGTGGACTAGGTGAGCACAAAAGGTCTGAGATTCTCACCCCAAAATAATGTATGACTTTGTCCAAATTGACAATTAAAAAATACAAAAGGAAGCTCATAAATATATAGGTGAACAAAGGGGTTGACTTGCTATCTTTCTTTCTTTTGACATAGGACTAGTAAACCTATTGTACATAGATGATAGAACGACAAAGTCACCTTATAGCGTAGAATTGAACAAATTCAATTTCTACCGTTTGTGGGACAACACAAAGTCAACATACAACACAAGAAACATTTACCAACACACTTTCGACATTTTTATCATGTCACGTGGTCAAATTCAATGCACGTGGAGCATACCAGACTAAATTACATGTTTTTCAAAGCTTATAATTGCTTATAAGTTGGCCAAATTCTATTTTTATCTATGCATTCGTAAGACCACAATTTTTATCTACTTTTGAACCACGCAGTCAATGGGACTCACCGCTTATAAGCAATTATAAGCTTTGATAAATATGCACAAAGAAGGAAGGTATGTAATTACATTTAGTAAAACGTTGACATTCCTCTTAAGGTGGAGTCATGTATGTTCTTAGGACACATTAGGCATAGGACATGTATTGACTACTGCTTGTCCTACATATATATGAAATATAATCTACTAGGCATCGATGCTTAATTATGTTAAGCACTTGTAACATGTTACATCAATTAATTTGTAAATAAGTTTTGATAGGTCCTAAGAATTAAATTATTTGCCTATTAATTGATGCACCATGCAACTGTCATTTACCGGTGCTTATTATATCATTTTTCACTCTTTCTCTATATATAATATTGTTTTCTGACAAGCGAGGGACATGCCTTCAACATGTCAAGGACACCAAAACTCCTATCCTATAAATTTTAATATGTAGAATCTAGGAAGCTTTTAATTGTGCTATCTTCCTACTAATATTGGAGCCAGAATCTAGTCTAAATTACATCACAAACATGTGAAATGGGTTGAGCAACTCAAAATTGAGCCCCGATTGAGAGTTGTAAAATATATTATATAAAAAAACTAGGGCATATGGCTACCTTTCGAACATAATTCAATTTCTTCTGAATGGAAGGTATAAAGTTCTCCAGCTTTTTTCCATACTGTCTTGAGAATTTGTTATCAAAGAGACAAAAATCTATGTGCAAAGTAAAAAGAAGAAAAGGCCTTGGAGTACTACTAAGAACCTAACACAACTTATAGAAATATAGAAGGAGCAAACACTTGTTTAAATTATCAAAGTAATGTTAGAAAAAACTTCATATACTTCATTTCGAGCTTGGTTTGCATCTACTATAGGCATTTTTTTGATACATGAAGATTTGTAATTCGTTGACACTAGTAACAAACAGGATTATCATGATCCGAAGTTATCTTGATAAATCAAATGGCCACTCATTTAATTCAAAAGATTGCAAATGCCAACTTTAAAATCAGAGGTGAAATGTATTAATTATGCTTAAACTTCAAAGTCAAGAAGCATAAAACTAAAGATCATATAATATATTATTCTATAATTTTAATTGATGTATCATACTACTATTTTAAAACATTACGGCATCTTCACGTCGTGCTGGTGTCTGTGTCCGTGAATTATAGGCTACCTGCATCACTCTTTCTAATCTTGTTGAGAACTGTCCATTGTGCAGAGGAAAAAGAAGATGCTGAGGTGCTTCAGTTGTTGTGTTCTGCCCTGATTTCATCATTGACATGATCTTGGACTGTGTATATTGCTGAATATCTGCAGCCTGTTTATTCAAGAACTGAAGCAAACTAAAGCAGATATGGTTATATGCCCGTGTAAATAATCAAGAATGTATCTCTATGTGGATGTAAATTGTTCAATGAATGCAAATGAATATATACACATATTATATATTTTTTCGTCTTTCTAAGTGAGATGGTATATTAGAGCATATCATAAAAAAAATCATCAAATCTCAGTGTCTATGAAAATTCTAGTCATTGGGCATTCAACGTAAAATGAATTCAGTTTTAGTGCCACATGGGAATGTTTGGCTTAGGTTTAATTTGGCTTCTTTTCTAGCTTTCATGACTGTATCAAGTGTGACATTGTACTTGAGCAAGGCCAAACACAACCAAAGTTATCAAAACATCAGATCTGGTTTATTTTAGGTTGCTTCGTACTTGATACTCTATAGAATTTCAAATAGAGCAAACATGTAAACCATGTTACTTTCTTTTTCTATACAATCCACTTTTGTGGAATGCTTGGTCTTGTAGATTAGGGAAAAAAATGTAGAATGGTACGAGAAGAAAATAGCTCCTGACCTTAAAAAATTACAATAGTAAGAGAAATACATACAAGAATTAAACTCAGGGATACAAGCTTGCCTCATAAGGTTGGGAAGAGGATGAAGAAGGTAAGGAAGGGACGATTGAAGGTAGGGGAAGTGAAGGCTTGGACGGAGCAGAAGAAGAAGGAAGTGAGAGAACATCTTTAAAAAGGAGCGAGATGTTCTTCAAGGAGACCCATGTGCATTTCTTCTATTCTGTGCGGTGTTCTTCAAGGAGACCCATTTGCATTTCTTCTATTCTGAGCTCTTGATACCAAGTGCCTTTAGTTTAAGTATAGGTCAGTTGATTAAATCTATCTTGATGGAATTTTTGCTTTTGTTGTAGCATAAAAAGGATTTATGTAATAGGTAGCGTCAAGACTGGTAGTATCAACAAGAGGCTACATCATCAATAGCTGCAACTTTTTTCCGGGTAGGGTAGGCTTGAAGTCAGAAGTCCTATTTTTCAGTTTTGAAAGAGATTTAAATATAAATATACGGTAAGCACTTAATCAAAGAAATACTCCGAGCACTATATAGGTGGGTTTGAGTCATCAAGATTGGAGATGGCCTCACCCTTGTTCTTTTCAACTGTTTTGTTCTTCAGGAAATTAACTGTAAAACATAAATAACTGCCAAGCATGACCTGGCCCGACCTAGCCTGTTAAAACTATGGTATTGGATCCCCATCGGGCTTATCTGACCCATTTTATGCCAGCGGCCTGGGAAAGATTTGAAACCAAAACAAGAAAATCCCATTATACTGCCTTTCTTGTATTCTTGTGTCTCTCTATATTATCTATTTACTGATTCATCTGAATATTATATAATTTATTAGTTTACAACAGGTGAGCCATTTTTTTACTTGGTTTTCTTGCATTTTGTTGAACGAATAAATTGAATTCTTTCTTCTTTCGTTTTGACAAGATATGGTCTAGCAACTCCCTCATTCTTCCATGAGCAGTGAGGGTGATTGTCTTGGAGGATTCATTTGCCTTATTCATTGAGGTGAAAAGAAAATAGAAAGTTTTGAAACCAAATGTTTCCTGCTTAAATAAACAGAACTAAAGTTTTCGGAACATCTGTCAAAATTCTAGTTCAACAGACACTGAGAAATTCAGAAGACTGAAACTGGAGCTTTTCTGAATATTGAGAAAATTTGCCCTGAACTAATGATTGAATGCAGAAGTTCATCCTTCAGACTTCAATGTTCCTGGTCACAAATTTCACCACCACTGAACGAGAGGAATTAGTTCTGTTTGCAGTTCCTACTATCTCCTTATTTAGTGTTTATGTTGGAGTGTTGCCATTGTATATATTTGTTTTGGGAATTGGACTGTTTGCAATATTATTGCAAACTGCCTCAGCATTTGTGAAACTACATCTTTTAGATTTTGCATTATCTAAAATTGATTCAATTGCCATTTTCCAGCATTATTTATTGATGTTTCTCTAGATTCGCCTGATCCCATTTCGAAGAAACATAATCAACTTAATAAGGGTTCCCAGATTTGCAAAAGCTCCAAAAGTCGTCAGCTAGATGGCTCACCCGATCAGGTTCTAGTCTGGTTATAAGAGTAGTAGTCAGCAGGTATGCTGTTTTGATGCCTTTCTGATGACTAATTTTTTCTTTTATGTAACATTTCTATGAAAATCTTTATAGTTCTCTAAATCTTGTTTCTCTTGAGGTGGCTTTAATTGTGCTTTCAAAAATGTGCATACCTAGTGTAGTTTTGTTATTCGATTTTCCCTTCGTTGGCAGAGAGTATTTAAGTTCTTGTTTTGTAGTGCTTATAAGTTGTTGATTTTACGGATTATATGGATAATAAATTGATAGTAAGTTGTGGATCCCTACGAATGTGTGATAAAAAGTACGTTAATTTATGCTTTGCCAAGCATGCTTTTAGACACTTAATATTTCGTAGTCAATCGCGTATTACTTGCAGGTATTTGGAATATTAGCTTTAACCGATCTTCTCCAATGAACTGCTTTGTCACTGTGTAATGCAGATAATTTTTCATGCCATTGGATATGCATGGCAGTTAATTAATTGCTTGTTGACAGCATCATATTCTGTGGGTACTCCTATCTCTTACATTACTTCTCAATAAGACAATGAACGATATGATGATTTTTCTTATTATGTCACCGTTACCTTTATAACAAGTGATCCCAAGTGGGTTTTGTTGATCTAGGTAAGTGTATGAGCCTGTGACAAGGTTCCTAGAGTTTTTTACGGGGATTATTCTATATGTACATAAAAATGGTATATAAGGAATTACATAAAATGATATGGATGGAAAATATTGGACAAAAAATTTATTTGTATTTTAAACTGACAAATAAAAGAATGACATGCGGTATTATGCAAAGTTTAATGTACATATAACAATGTCTTTTTAATGGTAGATTTTAGAAAGGAACCAAGTGAGAAGTACGAATATTGTGAAGTTGTTACTTGATGAAGATGTCTTAGGAGCCTTTGACGAGAATTCTTGTAGGAGAGTCATTTGAGTTCACCGAATAATCTTGCGTTGTAACAGTTGTCAGCTTTAAGTCCTCGTTTGTTCTAATTATGGATGAATTATCTGAGGGTATTCGCGATGAGATCCCATATTGTATTGCTTTTTGTGGATGACATTGTCTTGAGGATGAGACTGTAAGGGGAATTGTTTCCATTTAAGAGTTCTAGAGAGAATATGGTGAAAAATTATGTACAGGTAATTTTTTATATATATAACGGGCTTAATCAGAAGGAGAGGAGAGGAGAGAGACGATGGTATCAATTGTATCAAAGCAGTTCAAGAATTAAAGTGATCATGACATGTTTGTTAAAGAGAACTGAATAACACCCGTGGGATCGTTAAATACTTTTTTTTGTTGGTATCCTTCTCTTTAAAGTCCAGACATGGTAAGTTCCTATCAACTTTGCATGCGTAACGGCTTTGTTATAGTACAAACCACATGTTAACTCATCCCGCGTTTCGTGGGCTTGTCGGTAGGAGTGTGTTTTGCAAGAGTAAAATTCACGACGGATCTCAATCTTTAAGAACTTTTGTAACTTGCTCTATGAATCAGTAGCTTTTTTTGGTCTCCTTTTTTCTGAAGAATTACGCTAGCTAATTTTTCTCATTTTGATTGATGTTGTGATAGAAATTGGTCATTATGTCTCTTGTATCTCAAAAGCTTCATGTTTTATGCAAAATACTGTAGATGTTTAGATGACAAAATAAACAAAGGCCTCGTTTGTTTCTCATTCTTTGATCACAAAAATGAAAAATATGACCGTTATGAATCACATCAAACCATAATATTTGACTTTCTATCTCATGTGTAAAAGTCCCATAATGATTATATTTTCCATTCTCGTTCTTATAAGCATGAGAATCAAACGGGGGTAAAATTTTAGTTTTTTTTTGTTCTCTAAACTATCCAATATTGTAAAACTCACGTTATCACATCACTCCATGTATGAAAGTCACCAGTTGTGCCTGCTGTGTTGACGCCAGGGACGAATTTAGGGGTTGAGTTCGGCTAGGGTGAACCGCGAGCGTTGAAAGCTTACTATCGACGGTCAACGTTCGTGATAGTAGGATTGTTTATTAATATTTGATTAAATAATGTTGACCTTGAAAATTGGACTTTCCACGTGGCCAACCGATAGCTACTCCACGTATTCCTCCCTGCACATAATCAACGCACGTTCAGACGCACACGGCTGGGACCAGTGGGGGCGGCGGCGGCCGTATACACTCCGACGATCAAGTCAGGTTCAGGTGGTTGGAACAGTACTCAGATGTTGTGTCAAAAACACTAAGGGGAAGAAGAAAATATATAAACTTGCTATGGAGTGCTATGTAGTAAGAGTTTCATTACCTTTGTCTCTTGCCAAACCTTAAGGTATTTATAGGTGAGATGAATCGTTGAATGTGGGACATGTGTATACATCTGACGGTATGAGGCGTTCGCTCATAGGCGTCTATCAGCCACGTCTGTAGAGTGGGCGGGCAATTTGTTTCTCCCGAGTTGAGTTGACATAAAGTTGATAAGTCACGTCAACTAATCTCATGGAGACGTCAAATCAATTTAAACCTTAGGTGCAGAGAGAATCTTGGCAAAAATCTCTTTCTGAAATTGGCGGCGAATCTTCTGACAGAGGTCCACTTCGCTTCGGCCTCAGGGGCGAGGGCGCTTCTATCAGTTCAGCAGGGTCGCTTATGTCTCGCAGTGTGTTATCAGGTTGTTAACATTGGTGAGATCACTTCAAAAACACTTCGGATGGGTGTCTATCAGGTCGGAATGTGTGGTTGTAGGCATTTCGAGGCGTTTTAGATAGGGACGTAACAGTGGTCCCCCAAGTCCAGGTATGAATATTTATATCATGGGTGGACTTGCTTTCGTGATCGGATGTGCATGCCTCGGTACTGGGGATCGTGACTCGTGGGAGCTTGTGGGTCGATCTTCTGCAGTAACTGAAGCCATGATCTTAGGCAGATGTGCCAAACCTTCGTTACTGCATAAGGGAAACAATAACTGATGTGAGGTCGAAGTGCTGCAAGACTGGACGATTAGTAGAAAAAAAGGTCAAT